ATGACTCTCACAAGGTACCTACTTTTTAAGCTCTCAAATTTGAAAAATTCAACAATAGCACTTTTATTACAATCCAACTTCCTTGAATAAAAAATCACAAAGCAGCCTACTAGATATATCTGATCATCCAACAAACAACAACTTACGCCCAAATTGTGCACTAAAATTGTATGCCATTGTTTATATACAATTCATATATACCAGCATCAGCAGCTTATTATTTGTCAAAGAAGACAGTATATAGACTACTAAACAATGGATCATTACAAAACTTAAACAACTCTTGCTCTAAGAAAACATTGCAGAACACAGCTTCCATGCAGGAGGCACCACTGAACTCATTATGTGCAGTGTTCAGTTAATTTTAATACAAAAATATCAGCAGATAGAATTCTGAATCCTTCTACAGATACATCTGCAGCTACCTAGCTACTATTGCCTCAATTTTGACTAAAGCATATATTGATTAACCCAAATTAAATGTTTGGAACACAACCTGGCCCAATCACAAAAAAAAATAATAATAAAAAGAAAGAAAGATATATATATATAAAAAAAGAGAGAGAGAAAAAAGAAAATAATAATAGATAAATAATAAACATTAATTAACAGATGAACAGGCACAATGCATTTACAAATATTCATATTAGTAATCCTTCAGCTGTTACTAACCAATACATATACATTACAAATGCTTTCAATTGTAAAGATCTGTCTCAAAAAAAAAAATTTGAAATGATGAAAAATGAAAATAAGAGCAAGAGAAAAACAACAACAAAATCATTACTAGAGATTTGAACTAAGAATTAACACAACAATTTGCTATAATCAATTATCACTCCCAAGTAAATTTTGGTTCTCATCACTAATTCCACAACTTTTGGAGAGTCATATGATTTTTATATTTAACAGCTTGCCTGCTTTGGCATGCAGAAAACCACCAGCTGATATTTACATTGACAATGCTCAACTAACTTCTACCTGGTCTATTACAGTGATTTTCAGCACAATATCTATTGCTAAACCTTCAGAATTATTATTGTTTCAGTCTTATTAGTCTCTGTACATGTATCTTTTATCATATCTATCTATATCAGTCTCAACTTACTGCTAGCTCTTACAGTACAATTTAATAAAATAACTATTTTAAACTTATTTGGCTTTCTTTAGCCTACAACCAATAAAGTGTGCCAATGTTTTTCAATATCTTTTTATTAATTACAAAAGTAGAAACCAGGAAATTTGACCGATCATAGATTTTAAGAAAATTGGCAAAAACTATTTTATTACACAAAATCAAAACAATCTAAAAATAGTTTATTCAATATTAAAACCTATTTAAACAGGATTATTAGATTTGTAGAACTGTAGATTGCACAATAGAAGGAACTGTACCTAAAAATAGAAACATATTACACAATTGATTAATGTCGTAATTTATATACTTTAAAGTACTTTTTTACAGGGCTTGTGTAGTATATCTTCCCTATGAAACACAGATAATCTACTAAGCAATCTTGAAGGTTCTGTACTGTATTTTAACAATATCAGTTGAATCCACTTGAATCCACCAACTTTTATATTACAGTTTACCAAGTGAAGTTGTATATAAAAATAAGTAAATTTAGAATATGAAACTACTAAAATAATAAAATTTAATTTGTTGAGTGAACAAGAAAAAGGTCGAAGCAATAATTTAGCAAAGGTAACCTGGGTGAAAATATTGACACACAATATTTGTTACAAACCTTGCATAGAATTTTTTTATAAAGTCTAAATAGCAAGTTAACTAACTACATTTATAACTTTTTTTATTTAAAATACAGTGAGGTTTATGTATATTGTATTGAAATGATGTATTTATTAATGGACTAAGACTATCTTTAATGTTGTGAGGGATTGTATGAAATAAGATGCTTGGATTTTATATTAAATAGAGCTGAGTATAAAAAAGATTACTGTATAAGGCTGTATAAGTTCTTATAATAGAAGTTGTATAGAAGTTAATTAATTGGATTAATGAGTAAATGAATTAATAAATATGTGCTTGTCTACTTGAGACAAGTCTAAGTCACTTATTTTTAAGCTTTAAAATATAAACTTTAAATTAATATATTTTATTTTGTTTCGCTTTCGTTATTGTTTCATTATTTTTTTTAATTTTGAATTTTGTGATTTGATTGGCCAGTTATAACGTGACAATACATGAACATTTGTATAACATTTAACGGTTCCTCCTGTTAGATTGCACAGTAAAATCTCAGTAAATCTATTTTTAGATTATAGCATCAAAAGCTTTTAACCGGTGTATCGCAAAAATTTATTAAGTGATCAGACTTTCAGTATTAAGTAAAAAAGATCGGGCTTTAAATTTTACACCTGATCAATCAAACAGGTTAATTTTCAAAAACTTGTCAAATTCCTTGGTTTCTACTTTTGACGGCCCAATTACTTTTTCATATTACGTCTACGCGAAACAATTAAGAAGCTGAGGTGAACTATTGTATTTTCGCGAAATAACGCGCAGGGGCGTAATTTCGAATTTTTTGGCCTAAATTAAGCTTAATTCGGGCCAAAATTCAAAATAACGCTCATGGACGATGCTAAAAGGTTAGGTTTAGAGGGTTATAGTTATACCAAAATTTCGCAAGGAATACTTTTTGTTAGACTAAATTTTGAGTTATGAGCGATTTTTGACAAAACGAACATTTGTTTTGAATTTTCCTGATCGTGAAACGTTACACCAGATCTTGAAATTTGATTGGCCTGCGAAATTTTTTTGACTGGCATTTTAAGTGCTGTTCATGGACGAAAATACGGTACATTAAATTTTAATACATATGCAATTTATTGTCCCGAACCACTTTACTTAAGGCAAAAATATTAATTGATTTGTAAAATTTTGACTTTGATATATAGCTACGATTATTGATTATATTTTTATAAAATTTAATTTTGCTTGGCGGCATTTCAGATTGGTTAAAAGGTATTATAATATTAACTAACAGCTAACATATGTTAAATGACCTTCTAAGGTCATTTGGGCCTTGAAATGACAAATGACTAGCCATTTATTTCAGATCCCTGCGTCAATCAAAAGGGCTAGATCAGATAAAGTATTTAAAAGACAAGATATCCGTCTTTTGTGAAGCACTTACATAGCAAAACTTTACAAATAAAATTTGTTTACTGGTGTGCAGAAGGCAGTTTCATAGATTAAATTTGAGTTATCTGATTTTGTAGTTTAATTGGCTAGTTTTAAATTGATCTTGTAATTTGGTTGGCTAGTTGAAAAATTTTGGGGAGTGACAATTTAATCTAAATTATAAAAATCGGATGTTCTCGACGGTTTTTTTATCAAATGAAAAATCATAAGATTAAAAAAAAAAAATAGCAAATAAAATAACGGCTATAATTTTGCGCAGAGTCATTTACAATAAAATTATGAATAAATAAATTCTACATATAACAAAAATAAGATTTTTATACAAAAGGATGATAAAGTAATTATATAATTAAAAATTAGAAATTTTTCTCATAAAACTACCCAGATTTTTCCCAGTCTTTTTATTAATTGCCCTATCAATAATCTCTGCATCACCAAATGCCAGAGTGAATTCCACTTCCACCGCTTTTTTTTTTAGAGTAAACCCCAACAATTTTTTTTGTTCTTTTAAAAAATCAATTTTTATATTTCCCAACATCTTCATTCCATCCTCGTCGCAATACTTCGCGTTGTTATCCATTGTAGTGAATACGTTAATAGCCATATCAGTTTGATTCGGGTCTACTGCAAACGTATAGTAGAAAATTTGATCGATGGAAACTTCAGTACCTCTTGATACCAATCGATGAAATCGGAATATATGGCCAGAAGGTGTACAACGTTCCGGTGGATCGTGTTTTTCCCATTCTGCGCTTACTTCTATGCCATAACAGTATCTTAAAACTACAATGTTTAGACCATATTCTAAAGCACCTCGTTCGATGGCTTAGTATGTAAAATAAAATTATTTTTTTTTAGGAATTAATAAAGGAGTAAGAAATCATATAAACAAATTAATTATTATGAGAATATTTAATACCTGCCATAGGCTGTTTAGGAACAGCAATAAATGGGATTTGTGTTGTAAACTGTCGTTGGATTTGAGTTTGCAAGTATTGACTTTCGCTAAAATCTCCTACTAAAAACATAGCTACATATCTACATTGAGTCGACGCAAGATGCCTTTGAATCAAATCAATAATCTTCTTAACAACGGAATCAAACATATCTTTCACAGTTTTAAAGTCTAAATAGATCAACCATTCAGCCTCTTCCATTTGTTCTCTAGCCTGACCGATAACATACTGCATTAATGAAGGGCATATACGTTCAATATCTAATTCCTTTGTTATATATACGTTAGGATTTCCGTTAAATGATAATTTTACTCTTGAACAAAATTGTTGGATCAAATATTGCATTTGTTCATAGTGATTTTCTTTTAGTTTTTTCATTGCAGCGAATCCTAATTTTCGGCCAAGGAACTTAAGGAATTCACGGTCAACATAAGAACTGCCACACAAATCACCACCAAGATTAGTAATTTCACCAAGTTTCATGCCGGGTAATAAAGTTCTGGTTGTAAGATCTACAGTTCCTCCTTCACAATCAGCGATTAAGATTGATGCTATTATGTAAAAAAGCAGAAGTTTAAGTGTTATATTATACATTTATTAATAGATGACAGTGAAGTAAATAATAAATATATATTTACCTCCAACTGATAAATTGTACTCATTCATGGTTTTTAGACAATAAATTGCGGCAGCCTCTGCTGAAAATAAAAATAGTGAAATACGTATGCTTTGCACGTACATGTATTTAAATAAATTATAAATTCAATGAATAAACTTTATTTACATACACACAGTTATAAACACTAAATTTTCTGATTGACTATGCTCCAAGTAGCCAGCTTCATGCATACACTCACTCATAGTTACTTTCGCTTCATAATAACTTTATTGTATGTATGTCGAAAAAAAGATGCTTTAGATGCTGATATATTAACCCAACCATTTATGGAATGAATTACTAACCCACTATCAGGTATAGGTAGTACAAAACGAACTTGTTGAGGATACTGTATGTCTATATATTTTAAAAACATATAAATAAATACAATAAATTAAGTTTATTTATTTATCGCTGTCTGCATATTGATGTACCCTTGAATGCCAATTGTTCAATTGCAATCGATTGTATGTGATTGTAGCGATTTCTCAGCAACCATCTGATCAAATTCGATGAAATTTTTTTTTTATTTGAATTTTATGAATCTGTAGAATTCAAATAAAAAAAAAATTCATCGAATTTGATCAGGTGGTTGCCGAGATATCATCGCTCAAAGCTTTTTTTTAAAAAATGTCAATGTTTATCAACAATAGAAGCTGTGCCAAATTTTCCTAGAACTTGGAGCGAAGAATCTCAGCAACTATTGGATCAAATTCAATGAGATTTTTTTTATTTGAATTCTATTAATCCATAGAATTCAAATAAAAAATATTTTCATTGAATTTGATCTAATAGTTGCTGAAATTCTTCGCTCAAATTTTTTTTTTAAAAAAAAAAACAATAGATTTGTTTTTTTTTAAAAAAAAAAACTTTGAGCGAAGACATTTCAACAACCACCTGATCAAATTCGATGAAATTTTTTTTTATTTGAATTCTATGGATTAATAGAATTCAAATAAAAAAAAATTCATTGAATTTGATCTAATAGTTGCTGAGATTCTTCGCTCAAAGTTCTAGGAAAAACTTGCCGCAGCTTCTGTTGTTGATAAATATTGACATTTTTTTAAAAAAAAAACTTTGAGCGATGATATCTCAGCAACCACCTGATCAAACTCGATGAATTTTTTTTATTTAAATTCTACGGATTCATAAAATTCAAATAAAAAAAAATTCATCAAACTTGATTAGGCCACGCAAAGTTAATTTTTCGTTTTGCATTACATGGATTTCAAAATTCCCGGTCGGTCGGTCGGATTTTTTT